TATTTACAATTAGAAAATAACGCACAACAATTACTATTTTAAAAAGTTAGTACTATTTTTATTAAATATTATTTAAAATATATTTTATTATTATTAACAATTAGAGAAAACAATATTGTTTAAAAATGGAAAATTGGAAACCGAATCATTTCTAAATTGCTTAGAGTGATCTTTTTACTTTGAGGACAATTCGAAATTGTCACGTTCGGAAGTGATTCTGTGGAAGAAGACAATCGTTCTTAATAACGCTTCTAGAGGAACCAGGAGCGTTACTCTGTAACTCGATTCGAAAGCAAAAATTTTCGAATTTGTAAAAGAAAGCTTTTTCTTTCGAATCGATTTACGCAGTAACCCCCCCAGTTCTTTAATCCATGATTTTCGATCGGATTTGTCACTCTCGAAACTAGTACCAGGGAAGCTTTGGAGAACATATACAAATTCTTTAGAACAGTTCTAAAACTAGTTCTTTTTTCAGTATCATGTAGATGAAACTCGTTCATTCAAACAATTGTAGAAGAACTAGTTCTTTAATCAGTGATTTCCGATACAATTTGTCACCCTCGAAACTAGTACCAGGGAAGCTTTAGAGACAAATTATTTAGAACAGTTCTAAAACTAGTTCTTTTTCCAGCATCATGGAGATGAAACTCGTTCATTCAAACAGTTCTAGAGGAACCAGTTCTTTAATCAATGATTTTCGATAAAATTTGTCATCCTCGAAACTAGTACTAGGGAAACTTTAGAGAACATATACAAATTCTTTAGAACAGTTCTAAAACTAGCTCTTTTTCCAGCATCATGGAGATGAAACCTGTTCATTCAAACAGTTCTAGAGGAACCAGTTCTTTAATCAATGATTTTCGATCAAATTTGTCATCCTCGAAACTATTAATAGGTAGGAAAGCTTTAGAAGAACCAGTTCTTAAATGATTTTCGATTGTATTTGTTTGTCCCTCTAGAAACTAGTACTAGGGATGCTTTAGATATACATATACAAATCCTTTAGAACAGTTCTAGAACTAGTTCTTTTAAACGATTCAAAGAACCAGTTCTTTAATCAATGACTTTCAATCGAATTTGTCACTCTCAAAACTAGTACTAGAGAAGTTTCAGAGAATATATACAAATTCTTTAGAACAGCTCTAAAACTAGTTCTTTTATTAGCGATATGGAGACGACACCCGTTCTTTTAATTTGTTCTAGGCACCAGTTCTTTAATCCATGATTTTCGATCGAATTTGTCACTCTCGCAACTAATACAAGGGAAGCTTTAAAGAACATATACAAATTCTTTAGATAAGTTATAGAACTAGTTCTTTTTTCAGCATCAAGAAGATGACACTCGTTCATTCAAACAGTTCTACAAGAACTAGTTCTTTAATCAATGATTTTGTCACTCTCGAAACTGGTACTAGAGAAGTTTTAGAGAACGAGTTCTTTAGAGCAGTTCTATAACATATTCTTTACCCAGTGTTATGGAGACGACACTCGTTCTTAAATCTGTTCTAAGAACTAATTCTTTAATCAATGATTTTCAAACGAATTTGTTAGTCACTCTCAAAACTAGTACTAGGAAAGCTTTAGAGAACATTAACAAATTCTTTGGAACAGTTCTAGAACTAGTTCTTTTCACGTTCTTTGAAACGCTTCAAGGAACCAGTTCATTAATCCGTGATTTTCGATCAAATTTGAACTTTAGAACAGTTCTAAAACTAGTTTCTAACTCAGTGTTATAAAAACGACACACGCTCTTTAAAATGGTTCTAGTGAAAACTGTTCTTTAATCCCCAAAAAGATTTGATTTCGATAATTATTTCTCTTTATACAACTTATTTGTAAACCAAAAACCATTTTTAAACAAAATATTTTTTAAAAAAAAATTATTTTTAATTTAAGAAAACTAAACAAAATTTAAAAAAGTTTTACATAATTTTGAATATGTTTTTCTAAAAAATTTTTCATTGCAGAAATCAATTGCGTTGAACAACTATATACTAAACAATATGATGTTTTATGGTGGCTACATGAACTTTGGAGGATATCCCCATCAACAACACCGTGGTGATTTGAATTGATAAAAGTTTTCAAAATTTCAAACATGTTTTTTTTTTTTTAATTTAAATTAAACTTGGTTTGTTTTATAATAATTATAATTATTTTAGTTTTTTTTTTTTTTTGTAATGAAAAGAAAACTTAGCATAAAATGTAATATACTCTCTTACTAACCACACGCCCCCCTGCCCCTCTTCACGGTCTTTATATGCATATGTATATAGTATATAGAAGATTAAAGAAAACATACATATATATAGACAAACAAACTATTAACACTTTCTCATATATATAAATATATAAGCTATATAGATATGTAATACTATTATTATATTAAAAATACTATAATTATTTAGATCTACAGGCATACAATATGTATTTTTTTAAATTATAAAAAAAGAAAAACAAACTAATTAAATAACAAACAAAAAGAAAAAGAAATTTTGAAATGAAACCTTAAAAAAAGTTAAAAAAAAAACTTGTAATAAAAGAATAAGAATGACATTACTTGGCTGGCACTTGTCTTATTCGCAAAACAAACTTAAAAGTTACAAACCAGTTGCAAACACATAAGAATTTAAAACTTTTTTAACAAAAAAACAAAAACAAATAAAGAGCTAAGGATTTAAAAAAAGAAAAAGGTTTTTGAAGAATAAAAACGTTTTTTTAGAATAAAACCACAAATACTTAATATAGAAAAACAATTAAATATTTAATAATAAAAAAATTTCAAAAAATACAAAAAAATTTAACAACAACAAATATTAATTATAAGATTTATATACAAAAAAAACACACAACTTAATAATCATAATAATTAAAAAACAAAAAACTATATATTTTAATTTGTTGTAAAAAGTTTAATTTAATTATTAATTTTTATTGTTTATTTTTCTTGTATTTTATTATTATTTTTTTTTTTTTTGTTTTTTATTATAGATACTTTTTTATAGTATTATTTTTTTTATAATTAACACACACAGACACAATTAACCACAACATTTATGTAATAAATATTTATTAGTTTTTATTTTTTATTATTATTTGTAATATTTTTTTTTTTAGATTGGACAAGAAAAAAAAAAAAAAGAAAATAAATATGGTACAAAACACAAAAAAATAACAACCAACTAAATTAAACAAAAATTTATAAACAAAAAAAAAATTCATAAATTTTGCCCAAAATATTTATATCTAAAAAGTAAACCATATTAAATACGATATTATTTTATAGTTTTATCATTAGTAACAATAAAAATTATCATCAACAACAACAATGATTAAACTGTAGAACGATTCAAAAAAGTTCATAATATAAAACATACAATTTCGAATGAATTTGCCTTCGAAACGTGTTACAAAATATAATCCTTAATATTTTTAAAAAAAAATTTCAAACTTTAAAACAAAATGTTTAATAAAAAGCAGCAGAAATATGTATTTATTATATTGCAAGAACAAAATATAATTAGTTTTATAATGTAAAATAAATAAAATATAAATAAAACTTGTAAAACAAAAACAAACAAAACAAATTTACTGTAATTACTAAGACTCATTAAAAATTATATATTTAAAAAAACCGCGAGATTTTACTATTTGTATAAAAGCAAAAAAACTTGGTTTAAAATGTTTGCCGAATAAAATCTAAGTTTAGTTTGTTTTATAAACAATTTCCTAAAAAAAAGGGGTTAAAGCCGGAGCTAGAACAAAATTTTCGAATATAGATTTTATATAAAGAATATTTTTATGAATTAGAATTTGTTTAAAAAAAATAAAACTATTTCGAAAGCAAACAACCGACTTCTGATACTTTTATAGCAACCATATAACTGGAGAGGTCGACATTACTTCTAGAACTCGTTCTCTGAAACATTGTTGTGATTTTGATGTACTTCTAAGGAATTTGTAGAAACCTAAAGTTTCACACTACTTATACATAGGTATGTAACAACAGATATCGCTTTCGGCCTAGAGATTCGTATATTTTTGTGAAAAATCTTTTAGCTGAAGGTATTGGCGAAGGAATGTTATCAAAATATCACACAATTTTCGATATTAAACAGAACTTTTCATCAAAATATAATTGCGCTAATAATAATTCTTCAACAGTTTGCTTCCAATCTTATTAATTTCAAATAAAAATCATTGAAAAAACTAGTTCCCAGAACTGTTCTAAAGAAAGTATATAAAATTAGGTTCGAGAGTGACATATACTAACAAAAATCACTGATTAAAGATCTTGTTTCCAAATGCGTTCCATAGAATAAGTATCGATTCCATTTAGCTTAAGCAGAACCACTTCTAAAGGTGACATTTTCAAACAAAAAATTATAAATGTAAAAGCCAAAATAAAACGTAAACGAGCTATAATCATGCGTTAGAGAAACATTTGTTTTTGTGGGAATCATACTCAAATGAAATTAAAATGTTGTTCGAACAAGTTGTCACATCTACCAACAATAGTGTTCTTCGGTTTCATTTAATGTTGAACTTTGATCTCACTATTGCCGAAAGTAGAAAATCTTTCGGTTGATATAATATTCGCTTAATTGACAATCTTTGCTTGGGGTATAAATCGGGTCGTTACAGAACGAATAAAACCAATTGTAGTGGGAATGTCATCAATTGGATTTTAACATAATTAAAGGCGATTGATTACAATTGGATCATTTGGTAATGTCTTGAAACTTTCCCCTGCAGTAATAAGAATCTGAGATTTAACTTCTCTGTGATTAATTGGTTCAAGACTTTTTCCATGCTTTAATAGAATTGTTCTGTAGTAAGTGTATTGAATTAGGTCCGAGGGTGACAAATATTAAAGAAATTCACTGATTAAATAACTTGTTTCCGAAGCGTTTTATAGAATAAGTTTCGACTCCATATAGCTTATACAGAACCAGTTCAAAAAGGTGACATTTTGGAAAAATTTTCCTTCGAAATCATACTCAAGTGAAATTAAAATGTTGTTTAAAACAAGTTCAGAGACATCTACTGACCAATCGCTATAGTGTTTGGCTTGATTTAATGTTGAACTTTGACCCCACTACTGACGAAAGAAGAAAAATCTTTCGGTTGATACAATATTTGCTTAATTGACAATCTTTGCTCGGGTATAAATAGGGTCGTTTCGGTCGTTTGAAATGAAAATCAGTGATTAAACTCCCTGTGAATAATAAGAAAGAAGTTTTCTTCCCGTAGTGGGAACGTAATCTCTTAAAATGTTTTGAAATTTAATGAAAATAAGAGATTTTAGAAGTATCTTCTAAACAAATGACAGAAATAATATGAATTTCAAAGTTAGATGTTGCCCTTTAAACGGTCTAAGTCTAATTGCCCGAACGAGACGATTGCTGCTGTGTGATCATTATGGTCTGAGATTTCAGTTCTCTTCCTGGGGAATCTAACTGCGAATACACAGCTCCATAAAGTTCTATAAATGTTTGAATCTATTGTCTTGGATATGAAATAATGAAAACTAGACAGATAATTCCTTGTGGAATATAACGATTCTTATTAAGTTTGAAATTTTGTCAAGATATTGAATCATTTCAACAGTTTGAGTTTATAGATTCTCAAGATGGAGTCTGTTAAGATTCGCTGAACAATAAACACGGATGTTGAGAAAGGCACGGTTTATGTGCGAGATCAGTTAGCATTAAGGCTGTTTGTTGCTTTATTCAGATGTTAAATGATTTCAACAGAATGAGTTTATAGATTCTCAGGACGGAGTGTGAAGAGGTTGTCTGAATAATTAAAAAGGAACGGTTTATGTGCGAGTTGAATTGTCATTAATCTGTTGATTCATTCAGATATTGAATGATCTCAACAGAAAGAGTTTATAGATTCTCAGGACGGAGTTTGAAGAGATTGGTTGATTAGTTAAGAAGGGATGTTGAGAAAGGCACGGTTTATGTGGAAGATCAGTTAGTTAGCAATAAGCCTGTTGCTTTATTTAGTAATAGCATGTGTCAGAATGTTGCAATATTTGATTAAGTTTGAGTTTTATTTATAAAAGTTTGGGAAAAAAAATTTTCCTTTACAAAAGTGACTCCTTTAGGAAGTTTCATTAAAAACGTATCCTTTTAAAGTATAACTTTAAAACAAATTAATCACGAATTTTATTTAGCAACATTAAAAACTAACTTTATGAGTCAATGTATAAAAAAAGTTTTAAACCTTTTTTCAGAAATTTACTAAGCTAAAGGGATAGAATAATGAATTTTTTTGCTAAAACAGAATTTAAATTTTTTTTAAATTGGAAAAAAAAGACAAAAATCTTAAAAATTTGTTAATAAAACTTAAAAAAATCCTTCTCGGCCTAAAAGATTTTTTTTAACATATTTCTTTGTACAACTTGTTAAAATATGTTTTGTTTAGTTTAAAACGTAAAAATTCTATTATTATTACATTACAAACTAAAAACCGCCACAAACAACAAACAAATGCAAATGTAACTCCTCTCTAAACAAACATAGAACTTTACAACCTTAATTAAGGACTTTGCTAAAAAAAAACAATTTCAATTTAAATTAAAAAAACAAATGTAAGAAACGCACAAAGTCTATTAAATATAAAAAAGGGATTTTATTTTAATTAGAAAAAAAAACCAAGAAAACACATTTAACATGTAAAATAAAAATATTTGTAAATAAAAACAATAAAAAAATGTGAAATATAAACTAAATAGTTTTTTTTATGATTTATAAATTTCCCAGTGAAAAATGTTTAAATTTTAAATGTGATACAGAAAAGTAAAATAATATAAATAACTAAATATTAAATAACACTATAACTACTACCTATATATTTAACAATAACTTTTTTATTATTTATACAAAAATAAATCCCCAAATTAATTTGTTAAGTATTATTTTTCTTAAATTTCTGTAAAGTTCTATGGATTCATTTAAACAAAAAAAGAGTTAACTGTACAAGCCATAGTGTTCAATTAAATATTAAAATTCTAAATATTAATTTCATTTTATATGGTTTCTTTAAATTTTATAAATTTAATTAGCAGTACAAAATATTTGAACAAAAATTAATATGAAACGTTTAATTTTTTGCAATTTTTTTTATTCTAAATTTTAAAAATCTTTTAGAAATTCTTTCTTAAGAAAGTGTTCATAAGAAAAGTATCT